TCGCGTTTTGAGTCCAGTTTGTAAAACTTGACAATCTCATCAAAAATGTTAGTTTACAAGAACTTTTGTCTACTTCATGACATGCTTGTGAAAGTTTTAGTAGAGCACAATCACGGTTATTGCTGATGCTTTGAACAAAGATGCTTGCTTAAACAGAGGACATTTCTAGAAATTAAACGCACACATGTTAGGCAGCATCGCTGTGCAATCGTTTTTTGCTGGAACTCCGGTTGTTTTCTTAGGCTCCTCTGATTGTGCTGCAGATGGGATCGGGTGTAGTGTTTGGAGTAAATCATTAAATATGATCACAGTCCCCGATAATCTTTTAACACAAATGCTGACCTGAGTGCGTTATTCTTCAATTAGGTGAAGATGAAAAAATTAGGAAGATAAAGTTGTATTGCTTACGAAGGACAGTTTTTGTAGAAAAGCATAAGCGACAAATGCGTAGAACTTCATGTCGGATGGATACTTTATGCGAGTCCGTCCTCGAAATTGAGTGTACAAAAGAGTTTGGACGTGCCAACGTTTAAAAAACTTTTATGTTTTAATTATACCATACATATCACAAGAGCTTGTGCAGTCTGCTGTAAGTCAGCCAGCGTACTGGTAGATTTTTTGCACATTTTCCTCGTATTTATGAACCCCAGAGACAGTATCCGAATTTGAATAAATCGATATGTTCTTGGCCCAGACCTTGAAATGAACTGGTTTCACGGCGCCAGGATATTGCAGAAAATGAAGGATTATTAGCATCTATGTCACCAGTTTTATCATTGAGGATTTCCGGTAGTAGAGTTCTTCAAGTCCCAATGCGTCCTTAAAGTATCAGAGAAAGCTTTGCAGTTTGCATTTCTATTGTTCTATTGTCTCAAAAATGACTTTGGGTTAGTAAGCAAGACTGGCTACTGCATTTACTAAAGTATGTGTTGTTCCATTGCGTTTTTTACGTAGCCGATTCTTGTGCTCGTTTTTCTTAAATATTCTAAAGAAGACAATTCCTGAAAAAATCAGCGAATGACAGATTTTTTAAATTCGGTTCCTCTTTAAATTAAAGTTTCGGTCATATTTGTATGCCTATCCAAACGTAAAAGGTAATATACGAAAGGTTTCAGCAGATGTCTCTAATAGAGACGTTTCTGAGCAATTAAAAACGTATTTATCGTCTTCACGCTTTTGTTCTGAAAGTGAATCAAGAGGCCTCATCCATTCAATTATGTCTAGGCATGATAGTGAAAATATTTCGACAACGAAGGAAACAACTCCTTCCCTTGTTCTGGAACTGATTTGATTGAGTAGTTATTTGAAAGTGGCCGCACTATTGCTAAAATATCTCCCAAGCGGCCTGCGTGGTACTCGTTTCATCACTGAGCCGTGCTTAACCTGAAAATGGAATTTGCAACTATATTTTAAAATATTCGTTCGACTCAGTTGCGAAAAACTCCCCGGCCTTAGAAGGATTCAAACCCACGGCAGAAAGGGTTAGGTTAAGTACAGTCAATGTTATAATCATAGGAGTCACGAGGCCCAAACGTTAGGGAGTTTTAATAAAGCTATTTCGAGATGTAATAAAGTGGTTTTCTTAGGCGCTCAGAAGTAAGTTGAAATGCGCCCTGTCGATCAAATTTGACTCCTAACGGCCTGTCCAGGCCGTAAGTTGAGCTCGTAAACGGTTGTCCACTTATTGTTTGCTTATTTAAGAAATTGGGACGGGTAGTGAGAATTCTGTATGACATTATATGAACAGAGCTCAATGATAGACGTACTACCTGCGGCGTAAATTACGATGACTAAAAAGGATGTCAATGATAGGTGTTCTAAAACGTCCCTGACAGACTGAGAAGTAACTAAAGAGCCAAGACACGTGTCTTGCTCATCTAAAGCCACTGCATAATGCAGCTGCAAAGCGTTCAGCTGATCAACGCAACCCGCAGTAATTACCATATGCTTTTTGGTATACAAGCACCAGTCTCCATGCCCTCCTGTTTAATTTCCGAAGGAAATATTAAGCGACTGAAGTAAATCCATGAAAACAGTGTTTTATGGGCCGGACGCGAAATCGCTTACGTATATATCGTTCTGTTCCTTTTTAGGTAATGAACCGGGGTTGAAATTGTGACCACATTATGGAGCGTGGAAATTCATTCAAACAACACATTCTAAGACTACAATCACCAGTTTATTGAGGTTGATTTTAGTTCAAATGTTCTGCCAGTTAGTTATACAGTTTTCTTGGCGCCAGCAAGGACATGAGTGATATTTTCCTCCTCTTTCTTTTTATGTCGTTGACTTACAATCAGGCCTAGTTTTTTTGCCTGTTCTTCGATGCCCCATAGACTAGGGGATCGTTTATAGGTTTTTAATACCTTTTAATTTCGTTGACTGGTTTGTCGTTGCCGTTGTTTAGCAAATTTCCTGTGATGTTTTTTTACGCCACTTAACTAGCCCAAGTCTACAGGTATGCCGGCCTCCGTCGGAAATCAATCTCACTCCTATTTTTCAGTATATGGGACGTCTGGGTTAAGTTAATCTGTATTTTAAAGACGCGACCACCGTCCAAGTCTAGCAGCGCGAGGAGAACCGATATCTATGGTACTCACAGAGGCACGTAAACCTCAGCATTGCAGGGGAAATCTCCAACCGTATCCTCAATTGCCTAGACGCGCATCTGGAGTCATAACTTCTTTTTGAAAGTAAATGTTGGCTAGGAAAGCACAACGAACCGACGACTTGATCTTCGTGGGCCGTTATCTACGGAAGTGCCAAGGACTGCAGACGGAATTCCACACCGCATATTTGAATTTTACGAAGGACTTGGACACAATGAATCGTGACGGACCTTGGAAAATCATGAAGAGATTTGGACGTCCAATACACTTCACACAGATGGTGCATGAACTTCATCAGGGAGGTAGACTTGCTTCATTGAGAGTGGAGCAGTTCTTGAAGACGTTACAAGGAGTCCTGAGAGTGTCTCACTTAATGTCAGTAGGCCTAAGAGACACCCAGAGAGGACTGGAACAGCATTTTACGAAGCCAACCAGATCGCCGCTGCCAAATCTAAGAAACGGTCAGCGAGTCCCAAACATGGCCAAACAATGACCCTAGCACCTATAAACACTTCCGTCGTGTCAACGATTTCGACGGGACAGTTCGTGCAAGGCTTCAACGTCGTTGGAAATCTCTGGAGCCAAAAATTATCGACGTGGCACTCTGTACCTCCATCTCCAAAGATAACTCCAGGGTCGTCGCTAGAACGACCATAACCAACATGACGTCGACGGCGACGACAACCACCACCATCGGGCAAACTTCCAGCGTCCTGCCGACCACGACCACCTCCACTCCTCGGTACTGCAACCATGCGCATACGAAAGATTAACACTACTGCCCAGTTCACTAATGGACAAGGACACCCTACGCCCATTACTCACCCAACCTCCATCAACGTTATTGCCGAATGAACCAGCAATGTGTACCCGATCTTAACCTTCCCCTACTGCTATCTTGTCACATAACGAAATGGCTTAGTTGGTGGCAAAGTCAGTCTGCAACAGGAGCATTAACTGCCAAAACTGCCCACGGAAATTCAGTCACCGCATGGTTCTACTGGGTCATATGCGCATCTACGAAAATCAACAGGAAAATATCATATTCCTAACTCCACGCCACACATCAACCCACCCTTAGTCCAACATATTTGCAGACGAGAACACTAACCGCCCCACATCACCCATCATTCATGCGCCTCAAGTAAGTAGAAATCCTGTCACTCTTGCACCCCGACACATGACCTCCTTCACCAGGTTGCGCGCGGCACGCGTAGAGCACTATCGTAGCTCTGCTAGTCACTGAGTTACATCTCTTCCACAGCTGGCTGACAGGCCCAGACAGTTGAAATCATGGTCATTTGTTCTGTGGATCAGGGGGTTTGGTGGAACGCCCAGGTGAGGATCCGTCCGAGCCATCCACCTGCGGCCTCCCTCGTCTCCGGTCTTCTTGACTCTGTCTTGACACCGGGCTCGGGCGAGGGAGGAGGAGAGTGTAGGTAGATGCTACGCAAGTCTGCCGGCACTATAAACCCCTGCGTAAGTCACCGTCCCTGCTCCTATTGCTGCTGCAACTGTGGGGCACACGGTGGACATCATCGAAACCGATGGTCGAACTGTCACTGCGTCCTAGTCAGCTTCTGGTCATCCTGACTGTTTTGTCACCGGGTCCAGGTGAGTGAGGAGGAAAGAATGCATCAGATCCAGTGGAATTTTGCTATAAGTCAAGATCGCATTAAAGTCTCCGTCCTACGCCCACGACGCTCCGAGGCACACGGTGGACCACGCCATTGACGATCATAGGAAAATCATGCCCGCTGAACTGTTTTAGTATACCAAAACTGCATGCATATTGGTTGCATAGATTCCGTGTGAGTGCTTTAATATTGCCTTGTGTGGCCCTGGTTAGACGCCCGTATACTCACCTCAGTGATCGCGCCTAGTCACGTGGTCAGTCGAGCAGACTCATAGGCCATCGATGCATTTGAGAGCAAATTGTGAGGGTGCCAGGTGTCGAGTTATGCGTCCTTATGGCTTTTCAGCATGCTAATTGTAACTGATGCATTTGCTGAGAGTGCCTACACTCCCAAAAACAAGAGCCAACCAATCACTGGAGACGAAGTGCGTTTGCTATCTCTACAGCGCTGTCATTTTAATCGGGCGCCTCTCCATTGGCTACTCCCCTCTTCCCGAAGGTCATTAGGCCGAATGCCGGCGAACAACAGTAGGGTGTTATAAAATGCGTCACTTTTCAACTAATCGCGACTTGCAGTGTTTTTCTGATACACTTTCCGTGGCTGGCCGTGTTTTCTTTGTCTGTTGCTTTGATATTGGGGACAAGGGTCGAGTGCGTATACGCTACAGGGGATTTCAAGTGTTAAGCGGGTCAAAAGAAATTGGCGACACAGTTTTTCAACTACAATGCCTGACTAGTACGCCGACTTGAAGCAGATGTTGCAGCAGCAGTTGAAGCTGATGGAGGCACTCATCGTTAAGCTTTCCAACTCGTCCATGGGTCAATCAAGCGCGGCTGGTGGTTCGCAATATGCTGATCACATTACCGGCAGCATCACTGAATTCTTAAATGACCTGCCTGCCACTATCACCTTTGATTCCTGGTACAAGCGATACGAGGACTTTTTCTCTGTAGCACTGGCTGCCCAGAACGATGCATGGAAGGTTCGACTTCTAATTCACAAAATGGGCCCGGTCGAACACGAGCGTTATGTCAACTCCATCTTTCTCAAGGGTCCCCGAGAAGTCGCTTTCGAGGACGCGGTCCAGACATTGTCGCAAATATTTGGTGAGCAATCATCCCTTTCCAACACTCGATTTCAGTGCTTGCAACTGTGCAAACGAGATTCAGATGATTTTGTCACCTATGCGGGCATTGTCAATCGCGAGCGTGACCGTTTTCAACTCCGTTCTCTTACTGAAGACCAGTTTTAATGCCTTAAATCTATCTGCGGCCTTCAGTCCTCCAAGGATGCTGCTATCCGGACACGTCTCCTGTCTAAGGTGCAGCAGAACAACTCAATCAATCTCCAGGAGCTGGCAGCATAGTGCCAAACGCTGGTCAACCTCAAGCAAGACTCCGCCATGATTTAGCACCCTGCCACATCTTGCTCAGTGCACACGGTCACCAAATTGCATCATGTTACACGACCCAAACAAGTGCCCAAGGCGAGATCTCCGCCATCTCCTTTTCGGCACATCAGCGCGCGGCATGTCCACCGGGATTGAACTTTCCGCCAGCATCGCTGCCTAAGTTGTAATCAGGTGGAACACCGTGATGGGTTCTGCAAATCAATACCAGCTTCTGGAAGCAAGCCACCCCTCGCCATTTCTAGTTCCAGGCACCGTTCCCGGTCAAAAGTCAAGTCCAACCCCCAGTCCGTTGGTAAGTCTCTCAGTCTCTTTGCCACTTTCCAGCTCAATGCGGCTGGTCGTAGAAAGTTTGTTGACGTTTTGCTCAATGGCCATGCAGTTCGCCTACAGTTGGACACTGCTTCAGACATCACCATCATCTCTGAGAGACTCTGGCAGTCCCTTGGCAGCACCACGATGCAGCAGACTTCCTATTCCGCCACAAGCGCGTGAGATGGTCTCGTACAGCTAATTGGGCAGCTGCAATGCTGTGTGTCGTTCCGCGGTACCAGCATCACTGCGATCTGCTAAATCACAAAGTCTGATCTCAACCTACTTGGTCTGGACTGGATTGAACAACTCGGTTTGGCCGATATGCCTCTTCGTGTTCTTTGCGGTCAGGCGCAGATTTCCTTTGTACTCGCAGACCAAGCCAAGGACATTCTCCAGCGCATTGCTCCACTGCTCCAAGACGGCTTGGGTCGTTGAAAATACATTCAAGCCGTGCTACATCTGTCTCCCGGAAGTCAACCAGTCTTCCGTCCAAAGCGACCAGTCCCATATGCAGCTCTACCACTTGTTGAGGCTGAATTGAAGCATCTAGAGGAACTGGGAGTTCTAGTTCCCGTATCTTACCCCGCCTGGGCCGCTCCAATCGTTGTGGTTAAGAAGCCCCATGGCTCGATCCGCATTTGTGCTGACTTCTCCACCGATCTCAATGCCGCGCTGACACCGAACTGCTATCCAATGCCGGTTCCGGCTGACCTTTTCACCCTGCTGAATGGTGGCAGTTGCTGTGCCAAGTTGGATCTCGCTGATGCGTATTTGCAGATCGAGATCGCCCCAGAGACGCGCGAATTGTTGAACATCAGCACCCACCGCGGTCTGTTCCAATATACCAGGCTGCCCTTTGGTGTCAAGATTGCCCCGGCAATATTCCAACAAACGATGAACGCACTGCTCTCCGGCATCCCTGACATAGCTGGGTACCTGGACGACATCATCATCGTGGGCCGCTCCCCTGTCCAGCTGCATGACCGAGTGTGCGTAGTGCTCGAACGTGTGCAGGAATATGGCTTCCGCCTGTGGGGCGACAAGTGCCAATTTTTCCTCGACTTCACCAGTATGGTAAATCATTCAGTATTTGTATACAAATACCTGTCTGTTGGGAGTTTGTGGATGTAACGCGGCTAGCCCACGGAAGCGAGTGAGCGTCGGCACAAATACTCATGTAATCTATCAGGGCGAAACTAAAAAGCCTTGTTCAAAAGGACTTACTCCAAGTTCCCGCATTGATTTATGGGGAGATTACAAAGCCGATATACAAACAAAAGTGATAACAAGTGCAATGAAAGGGATTAAAATGACAATTTCTGGATTTTAACCGGCGTCAAGCAGTCCTCTCTCGATCTGGGTCAAATGCATGTGACATCCGGGAGTCGGCCCTGTCTGACGGCTTTATTATGATAAAGGAAACTTAGTATTAAAAATTCCCGATACCGGTTACATCTAAAAATGAAGAATTTTAGTTAACCAAATTAGTTATGTATGTCCACCACCCGGTCGGCTTGATCTCATATTTCCCCCATTGTTATAAATGCTGGATTAGAATATGATGCTACAAAGTCGAAAGACCAAAAGTCTTGTTTCCACGCAGATACGAATATGGAACACCGCAGCAAGTCAAAAATGCACTTTTTGCTTAATAATTGACGCCATTGACTGAATGCAAAAAACAGATATTGTGCGACAGAGGAACTCACGAAAGATACTTGTGGTGTTACTGACGCTTCGAAGAACTGAGTCGGCTGCCCACTGTTAAAGCGTTTAGTGCAGAAGACTGATCAGACGTTTAAACACCTAAACGAGCCAGTCAGCCTCGAAGTGATCTAATTTTTGCTTTATCTTTTCCTGCCTCGGAAACTTATTAGTTGAAGTGACACAGAAAGTGCACTTATTTTTTTCAGTTTTTTCAACTGGTTTTTACGGATCAGTCCTCAGAAGACAATCAGCAGTTTGAAATGCGCCGAGATAGCCAGGAGCTTCAAATGCGCCAAGATAGTGCCGTAATTGAAATCGCTGCCTTTTCCCTCGAAGAAGAAAGACGCGTCCTCAGTCAAATAAAACCAGATTAGTCTCCTGGGCCCGACAGAATTCCTGGGCTGATACTTAAGAATCCACCAACAGAGCTGTCAAAGCCTCTTTTGACTCTCTGAGCTGTCAATGAGAACAGGATGGCTACCATCACAGTGGACGACAGCTAGCCTCGTTCGCTTACATAAGGGAGGTAGCCGGATGGCAGCAAGCAGCTTCAGACCTATTAACTTAACTGGCGTCTCGTGCAAAACGATGGAAGCTCTAGTAAAGAGCGCTACACAGCAATTTTGTGAAGAAAAAACATGTTGCAGGATTTTCTGCATGGCTTCTGGAGAGGAAGTTCCTGCCTCTCTAATCTGCCAGCTTTCTGTAGACATGGACCAGGGCTTTAGAAGAACGTTTTGAGGTCGATGTCGCGTACATCGATTTCCACAAAGCTTTTGACATTGTCCCGCACCAACACCTTAACAAATTGAGTGCCATCGGCATCCGGGGAGATCTTCTAAACTGGATAAGGGCGTTTCTGTTTGTTCGCTATCAACGTGTCTGCATCGGAGATGATATGTCACAATGGGTAAATGTGACCAGCAGTGTGCCTCAAGGCGCAGTTCTGGGACCATTGCTCTCCGTTCTGTATGTTAATGACAGCCTTCAGGAACTCGACTGCAGCCAAATAATGCTTGCCGAGGACGTTAAGCTTTGACAAGTCATTATGAGTCCTTACGACCAGAGAACCCTCCAAACAATCTGCACAGACTGCAAGCGTAGTCGGTGAAAGGCCTTCTAAATTTCAATGAGCAGAAGTGCACCGTCGTTCATCTGCGTCCACCTAACTCTCATTCAAATGAGAGCCTGGGGCCATATGTTCTGAAAGGTATAAGACTCCCCGCAGAATCTTCACAGAAGGATCTCGGGGTTTGGATACAGAACAACCTGAAACCAACACTACAGTGCCACAAGGCAGCAAAAAACGCCATGGGAGTGTTCCATGCAATTTAAAGGACGTTCGTAGCCCATTATCAAGACTTTTTGGGAAACGTTTACGGCACCTTTGTTCGGCCCCATTTAGAATATTGCCTAAAAGCATGGCGGCCATGGCTGGTAAAGGACCAAGCATGCCTCGAACGGGTACAACATCGTGCAACAAAGCTGGCAAACTGTCTAAAAAGCCAATCTTAAACAGACAGACTGCATTTCCGTAAGTTATTCCCTCTGAATTACAGGCATTAAATAGGTGATTTTATCCTCATGGCCTTGAGCATGGATTAAGCTTTGAAGGCATGTTTCAGTAGCCTCTTTCACCCAATAGTCGTGGCCACTCGATGAAGCTACGGACAACAATGTCCAGGCGGAATCTTCATCCTGAGTTTTTCACGCAAAGGGTAGTGGAGAAGCGGAACGATCTCACTCAGCCAGTCGTGGAGGCTACGTCCCTTCAACTCTTCAAGAAACGCTTGGATGTTTATTTGTGTCCCCTGTTTCCCCTCGACAGTGGGAATCTGAGCTCAATATCCCACACTTTTTTCTCTGAGACAATGTTACTCAAACGAATCAAGTACTATTTTAATAGCAGACATTTTTATTCTTTTACAGTTACTTCTAACGAGCTGACAAAAAATCAATAGTGTTCATAGGCTTTGCCTATCATGCTTACCAAATAAACTGAAAAAATCAGAGACCTTAGTGGTTTCTGTTTTGAAATCCCCATACTTAAAACTCCAATTTGTAATTTTCCCGCATTACAAGTGACCATGTCCCAAACTTTATAGGACACTGTATATCCGATCCCTCTACAAGCGCAATTTGGAACTCACAAAAGGTTTTGTGCCGTACATCCGTCGCTTTAATGTGAGAAGACTTCGAATACTTCACAAATCTTTGCCATTAGCTTAATGCCTGGAAATATTTTGTAGAGTTTGTCGAAACGTTTTGGTTCTTCAAACAGAGCGCTCATCTTGATTCCTAGTACAATCTTTAAACTTGAACGTTAGAACTAGTCCTACCAAACGCTTTTATTTCTAGTACTTTAGGTACACGTATCAAATGCCGTTTGAGGTTAACAAAGGCGAGAATGCCACAGTGGTCGTCTGAGAAGTGGCGAAAATTCAGCTGAAAAGAGTGATGGTGTTACTGACGTTTCGGAGGACTTGGTCGCTCCCCACTTTCAAAGCATTTAATGCAGAAAACCGATCGAAAAGTTAAATGACTCACTGGGCTATTCAATATTGAAATAATCTATTTTTTCTTCTCTTATTGCTGTCTCGGTCTTTTGGCAAACGCTTAGGGAGTTTGACGGCTTTTTGCGTTGCATGTCGTCATTTCGATGGAGGATGCCTGAATTTCTGCCTCCCGTTCGGACATGTACATCGTCGAACCGTGTATACTCGTCCTCTTAAGATCTAGGAGGTGGCCAGTTTATCTAATATGGGTTTACATCTGCGAGGTTGGGTCTGGCCCCGCGTTCCCCTTTTGTGGTCGTGTGGGTAAGAAGGTGTTCATCCCCCCATCACATGCCCACAGAAAATCCATCTCGAACAACTAGAACGCCATAACCTCTTCCGAATCAACGGATACCTAATTTACTTTGCCAAAACAATGCAAGCGTCGAACAAACAGACAACCACCAAAGGAGCAGCGACCGAAGTCTTGAGGACCATTCCCTAGATAAAAGGGGAGTCCAAGGCGGTTTCATGACGGTTGCGACCCTCCATAGTAGGCATAACCAATCGGTCCCAGGCAAATATTCACCGTTTGATGCGACCTATGGGCGCGGTGCCAGAAACTAAAACCTCGACCGAGGTCAAATAAATAGTTTACAACGGTTAAGTCATCAACTCTATTGTGTAAACTGGACGAGAGTTGCAAACTCGCCTGAATGAGCACAAATTGACACCTCGGAGGTTAGACCCAACTTCAAAACTTACAACCGATACTGGATAACCTGCCCATCCCTTTGATCATAAAGGAGCGACTACCTTAAGCCGGGACTCATAAGCTCAGAACGAATAAGGTCTAAGGTGTGGTATTCAGAAGCTAAAACATCGACAGACATTTAGACCACCCTGTGTTTTAAACAATCTTGGGTCCTTACATACACAAACAGCTAGATAGAACGGTCACGCTAAACTTATGAAATTAGGACGGCGAAAGAACCTACCGGAAACGGAGGCAGAAATTCAGCCAGCCTCTATGAATATGGCGATATGTTATACTGAAAGCTGTCAAACTCTCCAGACGTTTGCCCAAAGGACCGAGGCAGGAAAAGATAAAGAAAAAATTAGATCACTTCGAGGCTGACTAGCCCGCTTAGGTGTTTAAACGTCTGATCAGTCTTCTGCACTAAACGCTTTAACAGTGGGCAGCCGACTCAGATCTTCGAAGCGTCAGTAACACCACAAGTATCTTTCGGCGAGTTCCTCTGTCGCACAATATCTGTTTTTTGCATTCAGTCAATGGCGTCAATTATTAAACAAAACGTGTATTTCTGACTCGCTGCGGTGTTCCAAATCCGTATCTGAGTGGAAACAAGAGCACTGTTCTTTCGAATTTGTAGCATCATATTCTAATCCAGCATTTATAACAATGGGGGAAATATGAGGTCAAACTGACCGGGTGGTGGACATACATAACTAATTTTGGCAAGTAAAATTCTTCATTTTAGATGTAACTGGTATCGGGGATTTTTAATGCTAAGTTTCCTTTATCATAATAAAGCCTTCAGACACGGCCAACTCCCGGATATCACATGCATTTGACCCAGATCGAGATAGGACTGCTTGACGCCGGTTAAAATCCAGAAATTGCCACTTTAGTCCCTTTCACTCCACTCGTTATCACTTTTGTTTGTGTATCGCCTTTTAAATCTCCCCATAAATCAATGTGCGAACATGGCGTGAATCCTTTTGAACAAGGCTTTTTAGTTTTGCCCTGATAGATTACATGAGTATTTGGGCCGAGGCTCACTAGCTTCCGCGGGATAGCCGCGTAGCATTCACAAGCTCCCAACAGGCAGATATCAGTATACAAATACTGAATGATTTACCATACTGAAAACACCGGTATTGACTGAAGGCCCAGATATGCGTTCTTCGCCAAACTTGTGGCACCGCATGAGGTAGCTGCGTGGGGTTCTGTTCATTAGTAGATCCCACAGCATTCCCCGTGTGCCTTCTGGTGTATAAACTCCAGTTTCCCAGCCGATCTTAGGGTCAGCCCGTCGGAACGAAGCTTTAAGCCAAAGTTAATTTGATTATTTGTGCTGATGTATGTGTATTTAGTGACGCTGGGATTTTTAAGCAGTAGGAAGTCCTACATGCCTGTTGATGGATTCGACACCTGGATACCTCGTCTCAAACGTAAATCGTGCGGTCCCTGACGTGCCCGACCAAATATTCTCTCTCCTAAAGAGTTGAAATTTCTCCCGCTTTCTCCAGTGCGAGTTACAAGCTGCAAATTTTAGCATAAGCTTCGCATTGTCTGTTTCTGCTCGTCTAAGCCGATCTACAGTTTTTATCCCGCCTCTCCATCGTATACGTCATGGTAAACCACTTTAGAATGTATACTACTCACTGCCTGTTGGCATCACCAACGTCGACGTCAATTAACATACTGCCTTTGTGCGCTACTACGGTTGCTTCAATCCAGTCTGTGAACCCCGCTCTATAGCCACGATCGAAGACAGGTGTTCCGATGGAGAGCTTGCTGTGAGAGACTGGAGAAGTCTGCGCGGGCTACACACCGGTAGAGACGAGTGCATGAAATGTTGTACGCAGTTTTCGGCCCATCAACGCTTCGGCAGGAGAAACGCCACCAGGAGACGCCAGTTTCGGTGTTGTCCTGTAGGAAAACAGGAGTGCCTGGACGATCTCATCCGTGGTCCCCTCCCCACGAGCTTTCAAGAGGGCTCTCTTAAACGTGTGGACAAAACGCTCCGCCTGACCGTTAGACTGAGGATGTTAGGGCGGCGAGCGAAGATGCTGGATGTTGTGCTGGCGGCAGAAATCCTCAAACGTCTACGAGGTAAACTGAGAGCCATTATCTGAGACCAGGACTTCTGGTAAGCCATGCTGGCTAAAGATGCGTTGTAGGAAGGCGATAGTGGCAGATGCGGTTGCTGGATTCAGCGGAGTAATCTCGGGCCACTTCGAATAGGCGTCAACCAAGAGTAGGTAGCAGACTCCGTTAATTGGGTCAGCGAAGTCGATGTGCACGCGTGACCAAGGCCTTTACGGTAGTTGCCAGGATACTGGCGGTTGAAGAGGCGGCATCTTGGCAGCTTGCTGACATCGGGAACAGCGCCGAACCAGGTCGTCGATGTCGCCGTCGATACCCGGCCTGTAAGCAAAACTGCGAGCAACTGACTTCATTCGGCTGGTATCAGGATGATCCGCATGGAACTGGCGTAGCGCAGTGGGTCGGAGGGAAGATGGGATCACCACAGGGTCCGCAAACATGAGGCAGGAGTAAATCACAGATAGCAATGCTCGGCGGAGGAAGAGCTGACGAAGATCACCAGGGAGAGCAGTGGTTGACCAGCAGGTCTGCACGTAGGTGATGGCCTGACGGCGAACAGGATCCAGTTCAGTAGCACGTCGGATGTCCGAGGCAGTGACAGGGATACATCCTATGGCGTCTGATAGCTGACGGCGCACACCGTCCGCAATCGAAATAGCGGCAATCACGGTATCTTCCTCGGGTTCCTGCTGATTGCTGATGAGGCGAGAAAGGGCGTCAGCCTGACCAAAGTCTGTAGTACGATGGTAGCGAATGTCGAAATCGCAGTCAAGAAGGATGGTTGCCCTTCGCAGAAGTCGGCTAGCTGAATAGACATTAATGCCCTTCTTCGAACCGAAGATTGACAGCAATAGTTCGTGATCCGCCAAAAATGTGAAGTGGCGACCGTACAACAGTTTGTGAAATTGCTTGACGCAAACAATAGGGCTAGGTCCTCTTTCTCTATTTGCCTGTAGTTCTTTTCCGCATGGGTTAGCGTGCGAGATGCATGCATGATCGCCTTTTCCGACCCATCAGGAAAAGTATGTGAGATGACGGCACCAACTCCGTGGTTGAAAGCATCTGCAGCAACAACGATCGGCAGCGTCGGGTCGTAGTGCGTGAGCAGTAGATCTGAACTCAGCGTCGACTTTAGCAGGGCGAAGGCCTTTTCACAGGCGGGAGACCAGCACCAGGGAGCATCCTTCTTCAACAGACGGTTGAGCGGGGCCCGTACATCATGCAGCGATGGTAGGAAGGCACTATAGTAGCCGATCAGGCCAAGGAACGAACGAAGTTGCGATACATTCTTGGGTGCAGGCATCCGCTGTATGGCCCGAATGTTTTCAGGATCTCGATGGCGACCAGTGACGTCAAAAACGAATCCAAGGTACTTGATGGAGTCGAAGAAGAACTGGAACTTGTAGAATGTATACTACTGACCGCCTGTTGACAGTTTGCGGGTGGTGATTTTTCCGCGGTAACTGGTGGATTTCAGTTTGAACAATTATGTCAGCTTTTGTAGATATAAAATAACTTTGTTCCAGTAGACTGACTCCAGGTTCGCGCTTTAGTTCCCGAGGAAATTATAATAGGCAACGTGGAATCTGGAGTTAATGTACCCGAATGCACGCGAGGAGACGTATCAACTATCCGGACGCCTCGCGGTTACGTCATACAGCAGCCCAAAATTTTCGAAACATACATCTGGTCTTTCAGTTAATAGTTATTCCGTCAGAACGTGATTAAGCACATTATTTGTGCATTTACACTCTCATCTAGGAGGGTTACTCGAGTGTGTTTGGGACGCCGTCGAAACTGATGCGCTCACACCTCACTGTGAAGCAACTCTGAATTCCGTCCTGAGAAAATTTATTCTAGTTCTAATGTATAGCTCCGAGGTGCACCCTTCAATCTGGGGACATGATTTGTCGATTAAAGGATGCTTGAGTAGTTCTTTACATATAAACTGCTATAGGGAGTGAATGGATGTGAGTTCCCGTTCATCGCTTCAACTGCCAACCATCCGACCTTTTCACCATCTACAATGGGGGTGGAATCCAGTTGGTTAGCAAGAAGTGATTGACAAAGATAATTCCGGGGATTAAAAGGCAAACTTACGTTAACCAGGACTAGGACGTTCCCGTATCGTGTAGTCAACATTAGCTAGTGAGCCCCAGAAGGGTTCCTCGGATTTCGATGAGCGTTGTCGTTTGTAGGAATGAGTGTCGCCTAAGAGGGAGGCCAGTGATTTCGATTTTTTCGTTTTCCCCGGCGAAATAGGGGGTTCTGACAAATCGGGAATTTCCCCTTCGTAGGAATCCAACCAAAACAGCGAAAACTGTTAAGAAAGCATGCATAGTGATAAGTAACCAGTGGCCTGGTCAATGCGTACCTTTGAAAAGAAAATTTTAATGTACAAAGTGACATTACAGCACCTTTGATTTATATCCAGTATCGGATCAAGATGTTGACTTACTTGCACATTCCTTTCTAGCATTTCATCCATCTCAAAGTCATCCTCATCTGTTCCAAATGGATTGATCAAAATTTCGGCCACCTATAATTATTTATCAAACACCAGATCAGACTAAATTTGCTGGTGGCTTAGTAAACGATTGTTTTAATATGTCGAAATGGGTGCGGACAAGACGCTCATAGTTATTATTTTCTTCCAACACTATTTGGAAGAAAAATAATTAAAATATATCGGCCTTTTGAGTCATTAGAAATAAACGTTCCTATTATATCAAGTAACTGTCAAGGGTTACTTTAGAAATCTTCTGGATGAATTGATCCCCTTCACATTTCTCCTTCTCAGTATGGTCTTTTAGACGACCCTTTATTGGGTTTTATAAAGAGGAGCTAAGCAAAAAGCCCTTTCCTCTGACAATTTCACATTGTCATTCGAAAGCCGAAAATACTCAGAATAAACAACAGAAACATGTATTTATTGGTACAGTATTCACAAAAAAGGATAAAACTGCGGCCGAAGTATTTTAAGATCTTTACAAAAAATGACTATTTAAGTACGACTGCATTACTGATCGACCAGAACGTCCTCTCAAATATATACCTGCGCGGTGGCATGTCAACGTCTGGTTAAGAGATTTTCAAGCAATCCGTAAAAATAAACTAAAAGACGATGTAGTTAAGTAACTAATGGATGCTCTACAGATCTTAAATGTTTGTGTAATTTTGATCATACTTCCGAGATTAGATGTACAAAAACTTATTATGTTTGTGTTGAGCGATTTTTCGTCTTCTGAATGCTTATGACTGAAGAGAAAGAGTATTTGAGTGCAAAACGTTTAGCAGTTGTGCACTGTTTAAACAACCTGACTGTGCACTCGTTTCTGTGTTCTTGTACCTGCTTGCTACTCGTTTCCTCTAAAGTAAATCACAACTTATCTTTATCCCGCCTCCTTGCGCTATAGGAGGTGGAAAGAGTTATTGCATTACTACTCAGAAATGTGGTTCTTAAAATACAGAAAATGGCTTAAAAACGTCTTTAGAAATAGTACACGTATGAGTTTGAGTAAGATAAAAATAATTATGAAAGCTAAAAGTGGTCGGCTAACGTTGCCTACTACTGGAGCGTTGCTGTACAAAATCGAACTGAATTTCACGTGACTGGCCCGATTGAAGGATACTTGATCTTGTTGATCTTGACATGACTATCGTCGCGCAGAGGATGGAAAAGTCTCAGTGACTGAAACTAAGGTGGACCAGGGAGCAGGTGCCCCCTGTCCACAATGCGGGTCAACCAGATTAGCATGGCCGACAAACACAAGGTAGACTGGAATGGCCATTTCCGGCTTACTGGCTGTCATCAGCCAGCCTCATCCAACCTCGGATTTTGAAACCTCTGGGGCTCGATCCCGCCACCGGCTAATTTAAAAGTCCAAAGCTCTAACCACTGAGCTACGGGATCGTTGTTCCGTCGGATTAGCCACTGCACAGTTTCAACCAACCTTTACCACGCGGACAATTAACCACCACTGCTATCGCACCAATGAGGTGGCGGTTAACACGACCGACGGCAGGGTTAGCAGAAAAATCGATAGTCGCACATTGCACCTGCATGATTTTCACCCCCGATTCTACGCATCACATGATCTGACAATAGACAGCCATCGCAGCCGTTTGATAATTCACCTAACTAATTTGGTTACAGCGATTTCACTGGAAGCTGGCTGAAAGCCACCCGTGTTCTAGACGGTTACCGTTCACATACCACTATTTTTTCCCAAGTGCAACTTCTGCAGCTGGATGACCATATGCCACGACAACAGCTATCACACGCTCAATTAAGTGATCCCCCTATTTGCATACTGACACGTCACCAGGTATTTAGATTCGGAGACTCAAGATGCTTCTCTATCAGGGAATATAGACAGAAACAAAAGTAACCAACATTCGCATCGCCACTGGCAACTGCATTATAGCCCACCTTTAGCCATCCCATATAGAACGCCAACCGAATCAGTCCAAAAAGTGGTATGTACATATCTATGTTGTGCCCACTGTAGTTTTGTGCGGGATCCAACAGTTGCCAGGCGAAAATCGAAAGGATAAAGTAGGAGTATATGGCGATCGTTGATATCTAAAATTCGATAAAAATACATTCTTGCAATAGGAGTTCATGCGAGAGATTCGTTGGTTCAGATCTCGAGGTAACCTGCTGTAACTTAGGCTTGCTAAAAGCTGACTGAATACTTTCGGCAAGACAGAAATATAATTACCCCCTTGGAATCCACGCTTACATAGATATTAATTACTTTCATTAGGTGAACGTCTTCATTTGCTTATGTCAACCTCGTAGATGATAATTCCGACAGCATGTTTACCACTTTCATTCACTTCGACCACAATGGTTCAGACGACGCGTGAAAAAATGCCTACCTTATTAATTTGCCTGGTACGTCCGAAAACGCAGAAAAAGAAAACATGGTGGCTTTATACGGCAATGAATGGAAAATTTACTGTCTTTTTAAATTTCCGAGGCAATTAATGCGCAAACTTATAGTAAATCCTCAAGAACAGGTCTTTTTAAGGTCGATCCAAAAGTTTATATGAATATCTGAGATGGAATCCATCAGTTGCTGCGGAATCGCAACATAATATTCACAAGCTGTCAAAATGCAGCCATTAGTATGCCAAGTATGTAATTATTTACCATACTGGCAGCACAACACTAGCTAAAAGCCCTCGCAGCTGAGTCAGACAGAGTCACAAGATCAGCGAAACAGGCGTGTCTCGGCCTTTAGCCAGTACCTGTCCTGCCAGTGTGGTAAATAATGAGAGTTTACGTCTATTGAGCAAGGCCGGATGCTTAAAAGATTCAGGGCTTAGTTCAAAACAGACATTTTACAAATGTGTGCGTTAAAGTTGAGTGGTATTATTTGGGTTAGTTCTGCCGGTACCATGCATATAGGCGTCCTGAAGAATATCTGACAATGATGTTGTAGTGGTCCTAGGTGTTGTCACGTTCACGAGATATTTCACGGTCTGGGAGTTAATTTCGGGCAAAGTTGAAAATGTTTTTGTCCAGCCAGATTTTAGATTCTCCAAACCCTAACGTGAAAGAAACTGGATCCCCACTTGATTAACCCTATAACATCAGACTTCTCAGTGGGCCTACGTCTTAAACTCCCTGTTTGAGGGGGTCGTGGGTCATGTCCTCTTTACCAGTGCGGTAAAAGCCTCACTCGGGTTGTTGAATGACTGGCTGGACATTGCTCCAAAGCTAATCTCTAGTCGTCTGAACCCCGTCTAACCACCGGAGTACGCCAAGGCATCTGCATCAATATCCCATATGTACTTGTACTTACTTGTACTTGATACGGCTGCGAACATGCCTGATCTAGCCGGCCTCAATGATGTCCCGAATTGTACCTCTTCACGCGTGACGATCCGCGGCAGCAGATCTGCACAGCTCAACCCATTCCCTTAGCCAACGACGGAGACCGAATACCGAAGGTCCAAGAACCACCTCCATGTCTTGACGGACAGTGTCGAGCCAGGTTTTGAACTGACCCCCTCTTCGACGCCTCCAATGGGGCAACGGTGCCGGATCGAGGGCAGTAACACTGAGCTCCTGAGGTGGACAACGAAGAACATGCCCGAACCACCTCAGTCGTCTTTCTTGGATGGCCTGAGATATCCTTGCGATGTTGTCACAGCGAGCGCGGACTATCTCATTTGAGACGAAGTCGGTTAACTTCACTCGAAGGATGATCCTCAAGCAGTAGTGGTCAAATACCTCCAGTTTCGCTCATCCGCCACGCGCAAAGCCCAGCATTCGAAACCGTAGAGAAGGACAGACCGGACAGATGCACGGTACACGCGAATCTTAGTGGCGATGGAGAGGTCACGTCGGTTCCACAGGCATTTCCGAAGGCTTGAAAAAACCCAGCGGGCAGCATCGATTCGGGAAACAATGTCGTCCTTACTCTGTCCATTAGGCAACAGCCGCACCCCGAGGTATTTAAAACTATCTACTTCTTTAAGTTGACAACCGTCAATCACGAGAGGCACCCTCTCCTGGTCAGTGACGCAGCTTGAAAACACATTAGCCTTACCAGGGTTTATGGGTAAACCGACCGATTTGGCTACCTTGTTCACCCGTGACACCATAGACTGCAGATCACCAAAACTTGAAGCAAGTAAGGCGATAGCATCGGCATAGTCGAGATCAGTCAGTCGATGTCCGGGTGCAAATTCAACGCCGTCACTGTCGCGTAGGGCCCTCCAGAAGATCCAGTCAATAACGTAGTTGAACAGTATGGGTGACAGGATACAACCCTGTCGGACGCCAGACCGAATACCGAACGGTTAGGAAAGATTGTTACGGACCAGGACTCTCGCAGTAGTGGAACGATAGTAGGCCTTAATCATGGCGATGATTTTTGCCGGCACACCATCTAGCGCCATTATCCGCCACGGGGACTCACGGTGAACGGAATCGAACGCGGCAGCAAAGTCAACGAAGCAGACGGCCGTCGGTTGTTGGTAGCTATGGCGAAATTCGAGAATGCGTCTCAGTGTGAGTATCTGATCTGCGCATCCACGTCCAGCACGAAATTCGGCTTGGTTGGGCCTCGTCCTTGAGTCACGCACAGACAGGAATCGCCTGAGTAGGACAATAGCGAAGATCTTCGCAGCAACGTCGATGAGACTTATGCCGCGGTAGTTCTCGCATCTCGTCTTATCTCCCTTTTTGAGGATAGGTACAAGGATGCCTAAGCCCCAGTCATCAGGAACAACCTCGTCTCTCCACGCTCTTTCAATCACCTCATGGAGCCACGGTGCCAGAGTTTCGACACAAAACTTGAAGACTTCAGCAGGTATGCCGTCCTCTCCGGGTGCCTTATTGTTGCGCAACTTTCGTATGGCACCGGCGACTTCTTCCTCGGAGGGGGGATCGCATGGCACTGCAAAGGTAGGAGAGGGAAGAAACTCCGCTGAGGAGGAGAACAAGGGCGAGGTAGGTTGGGTATCGAAGTTGAGATGGTGCTCAAAGTGCTCACGCCAGCGCCCGACTTTGGCCGAGTTGTCAGCAATAAAGCCTCCGTTCACATCGCGAACAGAGTCACTCAGTGTAGAGGGCTTACCGCTAACTTGGCGGATCAGACGGTAGAGCTTTCGAGTGTCACCAACGTTCGAGGCCTATTCCATTGAGGTCGCTATTTCAGCCCAGTATTGCTTCCGGTCATCCCTGGCCGATTTTGCTGTCAACTTCCGAAGTTGGCGGAAGTAGTCATCGTTGCGGGACCTGGCTCTAGCCGTCTGAGCAGACAACTGCAGGGTTTTTCCGCTGATCCAGTCACTGCGGCGTCGCTGGTTGTATCCAAGGATTTTCTCAGCTGCCCCATAGACTGATGTCTTCAGTGACGACCACTGGTTACTCACTTCTCCGTCAGCTCGGGCCGTAAAACAGGTCCGGATTTCTCTGCTTAGGGCCTCGGCAGTGCTGGCTTGCCGGATTTTTGCGACATTGAGGCGTCTAGGACGTGGCATTTTTGGTGCGGATGAGAGATGAACTTTCAGGCGTGTACGGACGAGGACATGGTCCGACCCATGGGCGTTACCAGTCTCGGCACCACGCATCGATCTGCTATCGTGAACCCAGCTGCGGAACCTTGAGCTGACTAGTATGTAGTCAATCTGACTGGCCGTACGACCGTCGTTTGAATATCAGGTCAGCAGATGTTTTTTGCGATGCCTTGTTTGCGCGCAGGTCAATGAAACTTCACATATGGCGCCTCCGTTGCATCTGTGGCAGCGAACATCGTTGAGCTGACGACTCATCGCCAAGCTTATTTCTTGACAGGTCGCGTGGGCATCTTCGAGGATCCAAAGTGTTGCGGCGGACTACTCGGTGTGGCAACAGTAACTGAGCCCTTTTTGTCAGTCGACTGTTTGAGCCACGTATGGCTATCACCATAGGTACAATGATGAGTAAGTCACGGACCCCATTCCCCCGCTGTCGTGGAGCATACAGTAGACATTGTCGTAATCGACGGCCCAACTATCATCTTATAACAATACCTCGCGGATCTCCAGAAATGGCCATGTATTCACTTTTTGAATTTTAAAATGCTGCATACTACTTAAAAAGCCCAGAATACGTTGCACTGTTGAAGACTAATGTGAAAGTTGGGTAGCTGTGCTGTCTGGCGCAATTACGAACGTTATAAATAATTTGTATTTTCCCTGGAGTGTTCCATGTGAATTCTGGAGTGTGCTCGAGTTTTTTTACTGTCAGTGTATATGTCAGGAGTATGGCTAAAATATTTCTGCTGATTTCTGATTTGGTGTTCATCAAATCAAAGAAAATTTTGCCTTCTTAGGACGCTAAGCCAGTACAATTGTAGAATTAGTGTCTTAATAGATTCGAAAAACCCTTTACAACAGCACCAAATTAGGTTGACTTCATGGCAAACTGTTTACCTGAGTATATGCAAGGGGAACATTGATGTAGTTGTAAGCATAGACCGCACCAAAACCCCCGCGGAAGGTCCTAAGCGCTGTGCACAGTATGTCTACACCAGGGGCCATGGGGATGGCTCCCTCCTCCCCCATCTGTGTGATCAGGTCCGTTGCCCAAACCACTGGCAGAAAAGAAATGCCCTTTTTGCCGTCATCGCCACTTTGCAGGAGCAACTTCTTCTCCTCCTGAGTCATAAAGCCTGACCAATTGGAAGGAATTGCAAAATTGTCTTCAAAGTTAATCAAAAGTACGGAAAAATTAGTTTTTTGTTTACAAAAAACTGCGGCAAGGTGTTTGCCGACTAGAGGCGAGAAGATTGTCTTCTATGCCGTAGATGAACAGCCCAGCCAGAGCCATTCATGGGAATTATTTGCGGCTGTAACGCCATTCAGCCGCCTCATAGAGGCAAAACAAGCCCAATTAATAGTATACAATTTAAATCTAAGTTGCATGGTTGCCGTTTCTGCTACCTACGTTGGATGCAAGTAGACTTCCAGACAAGAGTGTAGTACTGCCACCCTCAAAAGATCAGAACCAAAGACAGCCATGTTATGTGACTGGCGGGGATGGGGTTTTTATGTGTGACAATCAAAAATCCCCATGGAATACCTGTTTAAATAACAAGTAACATAAAATCGTACAACCAAGAAATTTTTTGAATGAACAAAAACCATAATTCAAAAAACCGCGCCGAACAAAATGCATAAGGCAGACAGAACTGGCGATATTTTAACATAAAACACGATTTTTTACAAGTTTCTGGACTAGTGATATTTAGAAACACAAACTCTTAAACACATGATGTAGACACACCGAAAATTACTAAATCTCTGCGACAAATAACTGATGTTTGCGACTACAAATGCATAAGTACCTAAGAGGTACAGTCAACCTATGAGGTACAGAGAACATATGAACTCATATTTATACAACTGGAAAAACAAACCATAAAAAAGTATTTGAGTCGTGATACCTTTCAGGACAGTTGTGTCCAAGTTGTATGAGGCTCAGAGCTAGTTGAGGTATGCAAAACGAAGTGTCAAAACACGGCATATAAGTATATGCACCTTTAATTTCGAATAAAATGCCTAAAGTAATCAAGGACAGCCGCTAAGGTTAATGAGTATTCAAGAGAATAAACGACAAAGATTGAAATGCTCCAAAACGTCATCCGAAATGATTCGTTGTGATTTTTCGCTAATCCAAATTCAGGAATTTTCCTAAAAACAACTGTGACCCCCTCGTGCGCGTAGTCTAACGAGGTACCGTTTCTACATCGACTGAAAAGGCAGTGAACGCATAGACAAATACGGCTGAGAAGAGCGCACATATTCATTTTAGCCGCAGCATCTAAATAAAGAGTATATGAGGAATTAATTTCGCGTCCACTCGTAATTTATGCATTTTAAGGTATCCAAGCGGTTGCAGTAGCACAAAACTTTCTAGTATACCAATCCTAACTACCAAATGAAAATAAGTAGGGATAATGTTGACGTAAAATACCGCACCCAGGGAGGGGGGGCGGACAGCCGCAAGACGTACACACAGTCAATGGCCACGATCAAGTGACCGTAGCCTACGCCGCGGAAGACGATGGCATGGACAAAGCCAGCTAAGCCCGAAAAAAGGCCAACTCCAACAGAACTCACCGAGCAACTGCCTGATGAAGCTTATAATAAAGTTGGTGATCGTGCGGTAAAGCTGAGTGAACACTATTCCCCTTTCAAGTCTAGCTCTTTAGTCGTGGAATCTCGCTATTTCGATCTGTTCCCCCAGATGAAAAGTACTTACGCCACCGGAAATGACGTGATTACAGAAAGCAGAGCTTGGCGGTCTAAATCTAGGCAGCTGTCGATAGACGACGAAAGAAAAGGTGCAAATACTCCTGCTCGAACTTCCTTGTCTGCCTGAACTTTCCCCCTCGTATTATCGTCTATTTTCCTATCGGACGGAATGTAATCAGACTGGTGTGTTCTTTACAGCAGTCAGGCAGTCAGGTAACTGCCCTTTCCCTCAAACTGACCCACATTAGTTCCTCTCTGATCTAGTCGCCCAGCCTCCTGATGGATGCCGTCATCGATCAGAACGGCTCGGTCGGAGCAGAGTTTACATTCGAGAACACGCTGGGGGCAAGAGAGGGAGAGGGTTATGAATAACACGCAATGGAATCGAGAAGGGAGCAGCAGACGCCTGGGAGGAGCAAATAGTATGGGATCGTTGAGATGAGCCAGATTTAGGGAATTGTAATCGCGCAACGAGGCTGGCCCATGTATTTTCGTAGTGCGCAGCAGGATCAATGTGAAGATTCATTCTGAAACATCACGTCTTAAAATCCCTCAGGAGTGCTGATTGTAAGCTCTGTCAACTATCTTAATGGCTTCTAGTCTCGTGTAGCTCTCAAGTCTGGTCATAAAAACCACAAACTGGAAGTCGTGTCAGTTGATGGTCTGTTTATTCTCAGCGAGGTACATTCCAAAGAACTGAGTTCTGAAGTTAACGGACGCACAGGATTTTCTGAAATGATAGGACCAGCGAAGACAGCCCGACAGCCCGACAGGGCAACGGGCTCGTGGCCCGGTGAGTAGGGGCGTTGACTTCTAAACCAACAGGTCGCGAGTTCGAGGCTCGGGTGTTCCACACTTCGGGCTTGGGTATGGCTGGCTGACGACGGCTAATAAGCCAGAAATGGCTATTCCAGTCTCCCTTGTCTTTGTCGGTAATGCCATTCTGCCTATACAGTATTAGTCTGTATGTTCTGCCGAGGTAACCGAGGTTGTATCTTCCGAGATTTCTCAAACGCAAGATAAAATGGAGACTTTTCCAAACATCCGTGCAAGCCCCTCACTGACTGTTATTTTTGAACTCTCATGCACGCGACCGGTTCTCAGAAAAGCCCACTGGCTACTGACTGATTCCCGACTTACAGCACACATCACGTTTCTAGCTACAGCTAGATGGTTAAAGTGCACAAAACTAATCCCGAGTTTAAAGCAAGCAAGGACAGCAGAATTTAATGGCACCAGAAAATTTCGCGACGGCTTCTCAACTGCAGCTTGTCGTTGCATAACACAAATAACAAGTGAGAATGGTACAGAGGTTTGAATTTCGACAGAGAAAATCAATATAAAACAGCAAGGTCAGCGTATACTGCGCGTAGACTAATCAATAAAATGATAACTTCAAAGCGCAACAGAGGAATGAAAATGGTGCCATTAAATTCTGCTGTTCTTGCTTGCTTTAAATTCATTCCTGGGAAATATTGCTTCAAGTAATCCCGAGTTGGCATGAAAAGTATCCCTGCGTGGGAACGTCATTTATATAACAGTGCGTCCGTTGCTCACTGAGATTCAGACGGAATAGTTAGCAAGTCAGGATTGCATGTGTTGCGTGTCTCGGTAGTTATGGCTGTATGTATGTGTGTGGACAAGTCTTCAGGTCGGAATTTGTCTGCACGGCAGTCCCCAAAAAGGAGTGAAGTTCTCCCTCATGCGCACACTGGCACTAAATGCGAACCTAATTACCATTTTAAACATGCAGATTACATGCTACCTTTCCTTGTAGGACGTCGTGTAGTTTTTGTATGACCTTTATTTGTGATCGGAGGAACTGCACCTCGGCGATGGAGGCGAAAATCTTAACGAAAAATACTGCTCAGTACATGCAAATGATGTCATTTTTTTATTTCTTGAGTAAACCGCTTTACGGAAGCACCCAGTATGAGGTTACGTTCATTGAAGTGAGAAAGCGAAAATTCAAATTTGGTTTTAGTTGGTCAAAAGCTAGGTTCCCTGTTTTAAAAATCACACAAACGTTCGTACAAATAGCAGAGGTAAAACTGCTGGCTAAGGTTAAAAGACTTGTTTATTTTATTGATTTAATTTTACTCTGCGGTGGGTGATTTAATAGTGGTCGATATTTCTGCGATTTTATGTCTACATATCACTCGCACTGAAAAGAAATTAAACAGAGACTAATAATAGAATTTGGCCTCTTCCCTTCAGATCTACGATGAGAGAACTTCAGAAAGGTGTTGTATGGCCGAAACGCTTGCATAACCGTGGGATCAACGAAATGCTGTCGTAAGACAAAACTAACTGTCCGACGCTATGTTCAGCAGATCTCTTAAGAAGTCCAATTAGTTGAGGCGCTATTATCAAGAAACCGCTCTCGATTCCAGCTCAGTCTTTAATCAATAACTTCGACTTTAACTTGCCACCGCAGTACGCAATTGTAGTTAATATTCGTATACATATACAGTTATCCAATTCCAAGAGGAGACAATTTGTCCGGATAGAAGCCCCGTTAATCCTAACCCTGATCCTGAAAAGTGGATCAGAACTGCCGCCAGCAGCGCCACAATCACAATCGATTTAGCATCCCCAAACCTATGCTTCCCACACTGCGAGCACACATTTACCTCACGTATCGGCCTGTTCGGCCGCTTCTGAATCCATCTTCTTGAGTATTTGAAGCACCTACATACACCAGACGACATCGCCTCAACTGCCCACTTCGCATGGGCCTATTCGATCACATGCTCATTCATGAAAACTTGCGTTAAATCCCCCAGCACATGGTCACATCATCACACATTCCCTTAGATAACACGTGCATCGAATGTGAGAAAACTCCAACGCCCTAGCTCACTAGCATCTGTCACGTAAGAGGGAAGTGTATTCTTCAGCTCCTTTCTCCATGTGGCTCCTTTTCTACATGCGAGATTGGAGCAGTCTGGCCCCTGTGATAAATGCTAGTGTGTGTGCGTAAAGAAGGTGGGTTACGTGCGAGTGACACAAGAATATGGGTTGTTCTTAGCTCCGTCAGCCACTTCTCCCAGTCTCTGCGTCAGTAGGTTGACCGGCTCAGACAGTCGAACGGTAGACGGAGTGAGCTCGACTCTCTGCTCACAATTCCTCAGCACCAACAATCTGAGGTTCCTGAGACTATCACGGTGTGTTTAAAGCCCTAGCTTGGGATTCTGCCAACAAACAAAGTTACTCGGTCCTAGCACCCAGTCCAATGTGTGTTTGTGTGCAACAGCCGACTGAAAGTCGACTGAGAGTCGGGCTTAAATGGTTCCTCCGTATTGTGGCCTTTATGATATCCCCACCCACTGGGATCGGAACCAGCGTGGCGGCGGAGGAGAGAGTGTGGTAGATGCTGCACAAGTCCATTATCACTTTAATCTAATTTAAGCATATGTCATCGTCCCTGAGCCTAGCCTGCTGTAGGGCACACGATGGATATCAGCGATATCGACTGTGGTACTGCCATCATCCCGTCATTCCAGGTTAAATGTTATAAAACTGCTGAAAGAGTAACTGACATCAGAGTCCCGAAGTGCGAGTTCGTTGTTGGTTTTGATCGTCACTTAGATGGTGCTTTACAGATGAGGGAATTAATCTGCAGTCGCAAAGCGACCGTCGCCGACAGTTGCCATGGGTTTAGCGTATTTAGTAGGTAGCGATTATTCAGGCGTGAAGGTAGTTGTCTGTGTGTTGGTACGTATTTCGGCGTTGACACATCCAGAGGTGGAAATGTCCACGCTTTTTGTGTGTCCGGCTCCACTGTGGTTTTCGACGTCCAGGTGCCAACGACGAGGTGATTCCCTCATTAGTTTTGGAGAATTTCATGGCAGCCTGAATTGGTCTGATTTGGAAGTAGATTCCCGTTGGCTGAATAGCCAGCGTCGATACCCGATCTATTTTCTCGGCAGGCATCCATCAGCTTCGCGGATCAAAAACGACTCGGGTGAGTGCGCTACATCATTTCACTTTATTTTTCACCCTGAATGTCCTCAATTTAGATATGATGTCTGTAATGAATTTTGTATTACCATCATGAAAGTGCTCGATGGCCAGTGTGGACCGTCAGAGAAATCTTCATTTTATAGTTCATTTCCTATGTTATTTTGTTTATTCATTTTGACACTGTTGACCGTTCCAATGTGATAATTCGAGAACCGGAAAGGGTTCGGCGGGACACATTTACTGAATTACTTACACAGGTGTCGAAAGACTTGGTCTGCTCACAATTGTAAAAGTCCGACAAACAAAATCCAGCAGATTTGCAAGTGACCTGAAAAGATTGTTGGCATTTAGCCGATCGGTTTTTGTTCTATGGTTTCTTTGATCCTTCGGCTGGCGTCTCACATCGCTGGCAGCTGCTTGAGTTACAAGTCATAATCCGATGGAGGGTGGTTGAAACTCCGTAGGGTTGTCCGGCGTAATATCTCTTTTGTTCCACCACCGGGTGAGTTGGTCTCCGGATAGCGATTGTCTTGTACTGATCTTCGTGTATGTCGTGACGTAAGGTGTTATAAGCAGTTTGTTGCAGGAGTTGGCATCCAAATACCGCGACCCAAACGTGAGCCGTCCAGTCTGTGAGCTAGCGCGGCCTAAGATGGTCTTTCCTTGAAGACCGAAGGCATAGTCAGTTTCTCCAATGAGCGTTGAAAGCTGAGAGTTTGGGTTTGACCCCAAGTTGCCGACTTAAGCTCGCCTAGGCGTGTTTGCCATTTCAGCCTGATTTCCTCACCGTAGTTGTAGTCTTCATAACTGTAGCACACTTTGCAGACAACTATTGAGTTTCCGGCAAATGGCAGCGTGTTCTTGCAGCTACAGGTCGCCGCCTGTGGTCGACGGGCTGCGCCCACTGCGATTGGGTGTAACAGTCGGGAAACCGTCTCTGATACTCCTTTAACACTCCAGCCTTCGAGGTTATGCTTTTTTCAGAGTCGTCTTTGAGCTTGACGACTGCTTTGCCCCAAGAGGGTCTAAGTATCCGTCGGTTCAGACCAGATATTGATGAGTAGACGTCCACCTGCTGCAATGTTTTTTAACTCATTAAAACAGAGTGCTGATACAGTAATGTTTGTGAAACAGAATGTGAAGACTGGAACTTTTATTCTGTTGGTGACTTTTCTAACCACTGTATTTTGCAGTTGCGAGCAAGGGTACAAAGTCGTCGAGGAATGGTTGTTTCTTTCGGCTCCCATCGTGAGTTGTGTATTCGTGTCAACCGAGTTAGGTAGTTTTATAAGATGCTCAGTTTGGTTTGTTTTGCATTGATAAAAGAATAATCGGCATAGGGGGTTCAGAGCTCTGATTGGCATCTGCTGGACACCAAGTGTTTTGTCACGGTAGTGTGTAGTGATAATGTGGCGATTACCGATCAGGTTAAGGAACATGCCCTTCCTGTTGTGCCATGGGGTTCGGTCTGGAGCCGTGGCCATTCCAAACTCCCTTGTCTCTGTCGGTATTGATTATCGTAAAAGTTTCTATCCGTTAAAGGACCATATTAGCAGTCCAGCCTAGTAGAAGGAGCCCAGAGAAGTGCCTTTTGTTTGTCATTACATAAATCTGCCGAGATTCACTGAAATGTCTGAAAAGCTCGAGCAAATATTCGGATTTCAGGCTTTACATCTCTCCTCGCAGCGTTCAGCCAGAAAGCGTCTCAGCGTCAGTGATTCGTTCCCAACATCTGCCGCGAGTTGTTGTGAGATGAAAGTGAAGTGTGAAAAGCATTGATTAGAAGGGGCTACTGTTTTTGGTGATCCTTCAGTAAGAGACTCATGATGACCTAACAATCAATTTCCCAAACTGTACTTGGAAAGACAACGAGTCTAACTCACACGTTTGCTTAGTTCACCCTTGCGAAACGGCTTCGAAACGTCAGCATCTTAATACATCTCCTCCGGTGAGCTTTGCATCAAACCTCGCTTGCTGTTATTTTTTTCTACTTGAGCTTCATATCAGCTCATAAGCGATGTAATCTTCGACTTTTGGTCGATTATGCTCCAGAGGCACTCTATCCCCGTTTTATCCGACTCGCGCCGATAAGGCCGTTCCAACTTTTCAAGTCAACTAGGCAGATTTCAGAAGACAACGTCCAATCAGAGTCTGAGAGAGCGAAAAGAATTTGTTCGCTGGCTGCATTTGGAGCAAGAAAGTTAGTGAATGATGTTCGACCGCGAACAAATAACAATAACCCAATTACTGATGGACGTAACACCTGTAGGCCAATAAAGCATCAAGTTAAACAGCGAGCCAAAACAGCCAGCTCGTAAAAAAGCAACGTATCAGTAACCAGATTTACAGTCGAAATTGCATCTTAACCAGTTACATGCTTCGATGACGTGTTCGAGTGTAGGATATCGGAGTTTCACCCTCGAGGACATATCGCGCATATAGATGACTCGTGATGACCAAATAATCAATTTCCCAAACTATACTTGGGAAGAACACGAGTCTAAGTCACACGTTCGCTTAGTTCACCCTTGGGAAACGGCTTCGAAACGTCAGCATCTTAATACATCTCCTCCGGTGAGCTTTGCATCAAACTTCGCTTGCTGTTAATTTTTTCTACTTGAGCTTCATATCAGCTCATACGCAACGTAATCTTCGACTATTTGGCTGATTATACAATCTCTGTTATGGAAAAAATATGCTCCAGAAGCACTCTATCCCCGACTTATCCAACTCGCGCCGATAATGCAGTTCCAACTTTTCAAGTCAACTAGGCAGATTTCAGAAGACAACGTCCAATCAGAGTCTGAGAGAGCGGAAAGAATTTGTTCGCTGGTTGCATTTGGAGCAAGAAAGTTAGTGAATGATGTTTGACCGCGAACAAATAACAATAACCCAATTCTTGCTCGACGTAACACCTGGAGGCCAATAAGGAATAGAGTTAAACCGCGCGCCAAAACAGCCAGCTCGTAAAAACAACGCATCAGTAGCCAGATTTACAGTCGAAATTGCATCTTAAACAGTTACCTGCTTCGATGACGTGTTCCAGTGTAGGATATCGGAGTTTCACCCTCGAGGACATGTCGCGCATATAGAGGCAGTAAGTCAGATTAACGTAGCGAACCAGCGTGCGCCGGCGAATCTTCACTGCATCCGAATCTCCCTGTATGTACGTGCATACAGCAAGCACGACGGAATCTGGCCAAGGGATTGCGAGGTATCGCTGCCACCAATGTCTGACTATGATGTTGACATAAAACCCCAGAAAGAGCCCCACCGGTATTCCTTCGATTATCTTGCAGCAGTACAGGCAAAAATGCTCGAAATTCCTGTAGAAAGAGAGATAAAATTTGAAAATGTTATCGACAATTGTTAGGCTTACAAAAATCGTCGATTTTTTTGCAGCCGGAACCTAAAGAAAGGAAGGCTCTGGTGAGGAAGCGAGATTGACTTAACCCAAGGGTCGAAAATCAGTGACAGGCGTAAACATCAAATAAGGAACAATTTTTACGTGGATTTAACTTGCGCAGATTATGATGAAGGCCTGCGATTGAAATTTAGTATACTGTCGTGTATGAAGGTGCTCGGCAATACGTTCCATGTTACTCTATCAGGCAAAGTCTTCTGGGCAATTCTTTCTATTCGATGGCGTTCCAAAAGTTCTGGAGTTTCGAGTCTGGGTGCATTTTCAACGGGTTTAAAGGTCAAAGATACAAAAAGGCCAAAATATCTACTTTTTGACTTATGCTAATAATAGTTCTATTGAGACTTTTGTCAGCAAGGTATTACTGGTCAAACTGGTCATTTCTGGCAGAGAAGCTAGGTAGTATGTGATGGAAGTACCTACGGAGTAAGTATAAACGCAAAGCCTGTCTCTAAATATATTTATGCAAGAAACCCTTCCAAAAACACGAATCAACTTTTCACCTGAACTACAAGATTGAAGGGGACACAATACCGTAAATACCAGTTCGAGAAGGCGCCTTTTTTGCGCAGTTTCAGAAAATGTCAGTAAATTTGTGCAAGCGTCAAAAGTTAAGTTGAAATTGAACAATAGTGAAGTTGAGGTTTCGTGCCCAGTTAGTATATTCAGCTAGCAAACAAGCTATTAAAACGAAACTCGAACACGTCGTCCAATGTGCCCTGACTTTTAGTTGTGCTTCAAGCGATTTGGTGATATAATCCCACATAAACACTCTTTTTCTGTCGGAGTGTATATTTAAAAGCAACGCCAATGTCCTATTAGCTTCGCCCACCAATGTAATTTCAGGCCGGTCTGACAAAATGGAGATCTGAGGGTCGGACGGGCCAAGAAAGTGGTCTGGTGTTTTGAACCTGAATGCCTGAGCAGAGTAAACATATTGTGGGAAAACATTCCTTTCTGAAAGACGAACCTGAACACTTTCTCTTGATGTTTCAACAACACATGTTCCTAACATCTTTAATAACAAGACACTTAAGTTCCTGCGGGATTCATCTTCCGGAAAAAGAAAATGATAATATCGGACGATGCATTTACGAGGTGACTGGGCCAACTGACTGACGGTATTGCAAGACTGTATTGCATTAGCCTATCCGGACATCGTACGTTTTCATCTACATCCAACTGACCGAGAACTCAGGAGTTTGGCAACCGAGCAGAGTTCGGGGCAGACTTCAGGTCAAGAGTGTTTTAAAGTCCTGATATGCTCCCAGGCAATTAGAATATGTAGCTTCTACCGATTGTACTGAACGTCTATCATCAGGTATGCGACATCGGCTGTTTATTTGCCTTTTTCCCGCGTTTCCTGATTTCTGACGACGAGAGCGACACTGATTTTGATCATAGGGCTGCCCTAGCGCATTAGAAAAATTTTCCTGTCCTCACGTAAACTTTCGGAATTGATGTATGTATTGTGCTACAAATCTCAAGAAAGATCTGCTAAGTTCCTGAAAGAAGTCTTAACCTAGAACAGTTTATCATGGTAACGGTGGTTATAATGTTAAGGCATTTATACATTATTTGACGTTGACATTTACCTGGGAAAATTTAATAAGGCATAATATCTCTATAACACTTCATTATTTTTGCAATCCCAACGTATTTCTCCAAAATAACGCAGAGTTGTCAATTTCTTGGAATTTTTCTATGAGGAAAATCATCATTTTAAAATTTATCGTTCAAACGTAAACAAGGCATTGGCTATAAAAGTTTGGCAAACCATGGAGATGTTATGCCGCAAATTGTATTGTTACATGTTCCGAAGAATTTCAAACCTTTTGAGCTCTGTTTCGTATATAATGTGACAACACTCGTCAGGCTTGCAAAATGACATCTCCTAGTGCAATCGAAATGCCACAGTGTTTGCAGATCATGCTCTGCACTACGGGGAGAGCATTTACCTAGACTGCAGAAACATCTAAATGGACGTTCATAAAAGTGGAATAATCTGCGTGCAATATTGGAAAAAAATTCAGTTTTCTACAAAGAGGAGATAGAGAATGAATTTGACAAAAACGTTTCCTAGGATATATAACTACATTCACGGTCAGTTTACAAGATATACTTTCCTCGGTCGGATAGCCTTTTCCAATATACCGGCTGTTGTTATTCATATTGCCTAATTATGGCAGAGTCGAGTTTTCTAGACGAGTGGATGTGAAAAGAGTGGCCTGCCAACGATGAATGCCATTTATACAAACAAACGTAGATTTATGCGCAGGCGAGTTATTATGGCGGACTTTTCAAATTAAACACATTTAAGGATTTTATTATTTTTTATAAGCCGTAAATCGCCTGTTTTTGCTTCATCGTCTACGATATCATTTTCGTATTTAAATAAATAAATTTCTTTATTCGAAACAGTTTTTGTGTTTTCCCTTGCGTAAAACCGACTAACTTTAGCATCAGGCGCATTTCGCTGTTAGTGTCAAGGACTTTTACTTCTGATACCCAATTTATTGGTCATTGTATGGTAACATTTGAATTCGCATTGCACCCGTGGGTGCCGTAATTAGTAATTCTGTATGTAGTCCATCCTTATAAGCGATTCAATAGGCACAAGTTGAAAATTTAAAACAAAATTTAAATGAGTTAAGTTTTACTCTTAACTTATCCCACACTCTATGAAACGCTAATAATCTTTGTCTTGTTTGTATTATTTGCCTTACAAAATTAAAAAATGGAACGGCTTCAAGTACAGTTCTGACTACATATATTAGCTTGCATTGTACCTGTTGCATCTGACAATAAACCACTTAATATATTCCGTTTATAGAAGTTATTCTACACGAACGACTGCAGACGGTTTAAATGAAACTCCCGTTCGGGACAGTATCTTCTGCAAAAAGACAACAAAACTATTCACACATTAAAATTTTTAAAAAGTTTTGAAACTACAATTTAAAGATATCGTGGATGATTGGAAGATCCATTGAGTAACATTATACTTCGATTAATCTATTTTGTCTTCATCCTTTCCCTTCTGCGTTCCTGCCGAACGGAATGAACCATGTGCTGTGCCCTTTAACCGGGTAGACATGTACGAGGTTTTGTAGAAAGAAAATGTTTTCTTACTATTCGCTAACACATCGTTAATGTGGGTTAGTATAAATATTTTTTAGATTTAAAGTATAAAGTATATATTAACATAATCTGCCGTAAATCTGATGAGGTAGACGTAAGAAGTGGAGCATTAATGGACAGGAAGTTGACATTTAGGCGAGATATGTTTCTAAATATTTCTCAAATTTAGATTATTTCATAAATTAAACGCGCAGGTATGCAATATTCAGAGTCTATGTTTACAAAAAATGCATTGATAGGATAGTGTCCGAAGACTCTGTAGCCAGGTAACTTAGACCCACATGAGTATGTCCGCAAAGCAATATCATGATACAGAAATAGAAACATGTTTTGCAGAATAGGACGGTACTCGTCAGATTTAAATGCTTTGTCCCAAAACTGTCGTAAATATTTTTAATGACATGAAAGGGTCTCGAATAGAGCGTGGTACGTCTGGAAAATAATGTATTTGGTCAACGCTATGCATGCATGCACTGGAGTTTAGAACATTAGGCTGCCTTCCGTGACAATAATAACAACTTTAAAGTGCAACTCTGCTTTGATAGAATCATAATGTTTAGATAATGGTTGGTTTTAGTACATATCTTATTTGGACGGTTAGTTGGATTAGCTAGTAGTCTGCTGTTTTGCATAGCATTGACCGAAAAACGGGGATTTTATTCTCTGTAAAGTTACCTTGATAATTAACATTTACACTGAAAGCGATACGCTCCCCTGATCTCTTTGATAAGGGAACAGATATAATGTGATCCTATGTGGCATTCGGAAGCAAACAACAGCCAATGTGATGAGGGCACAAATACTTGTCTGACCATAATAGGTGCGTATGAGGAACCGGTCACAATCTTACGTAAACAACTTTTCGGATACCTGCCGTTTTAAATTTGGATCACATTTGGTTCTGTAGTTGACTGTAACCTCAAAATCAGAGCCGGATTTGGTTTAATAACGACAATAAAAACAAAAGTCTCATACACTTTAAGACAATTCTAGGTCTTTCACATTCGGAGAGTCAGCGTCAATTTGATGCAGTCATCTACCATAACTCAGCTTACGGTTAGCACAAATAATTGCTCTGCGTTTTCATCTGTTTCGCTAGCATTCTATGACAAGCAAAAAATAAGCTTAAGTGAACAGACCTCTTTAAATTCTTATCTTACCTGAAATCTAGCCGAATAAGCAATTTAAAATCCTTTTTTAAAATAAAAAATCGATGAATTGAGTAACGCAAAATGAATCCCATTATAAATGCCCTTATTTTGCATAAGTTAGTTTAGAAGTCCACGCCTCTACCCACTGGGCCACGAGCCCGTCGCCCTGTTGGTTTTCGATCGGGAATATACAATGGTAGGGGGCGCTCACCGATCGTTCATAGGGAACTCACTCGTTCCGTTGTGCCTTAAGGACTCTCTCCCGATCGAAAACCGACTGGGCGACGGGCTCGTGCCCCGACTTCCAAACTAACAGGTCGCGAGTTCGAGGCTCGGGTGATTCACACTTCGGGCTTGGGTATGGCTGACTGACGACAGCTATTAAGTCAGAACTGGCCATTCCAGTCTCCCTTGTCTTTGTCAGTTATATCATTCTGCCTATATACCTATGTATGCATATATATGCATATCGTTCCTATAGAAACATGTGCTTCTGATTAGAAGCATGCAAACTAGCTAAACAAAAATAAAATAATGCAACAGATTTTCTTTTTGGACTGTACAAATACTGGTCAATAGACTTATTTTTGTAAGAAAAACTTGTACCGTTTTATTTCTCCAGTCATCGCTAGGCGGTATATCAGTGAAAAGAACATGAAAATAATCAGGAACACGATGAATTCTATCCATATCGCCTTGTACACGCTTCCTTTCCATCTGTTAAGTCTTCGGGTTGTAAATAAAAAGCATACCGAAATAGTAGCTTAAGAAATGCCGACTGAGAGTTTGTCGCAACAGCACGGGAATAGGATACAGTCATCCCTGTGTGCAAATCTGTCGTACATATGATGGTAAATGCATGTGATGCGACTGAACAAACGATTGAGTCAATTCTCAAGACAAGTGTGTCGACGGAATTGTCTTTTAATTCTTGGAAGAACGTCGCACATAAATAACTAGAATAAAAAGGCAAATGCCGCAGGTAGCATAGTGGTACATAAGCACGCGCTTCATAACACAAAAACATGGGGATATACTCAATACATTAGGGGAAGGAGTTCGAATGAATGTCTGCATTTACATATGCTTGTATACGGGTGCGAAAAATTTTATCAATGATCGATTGTCAAACCTAAGGCCTGCTGAATTCCATGTTTTGAATGACGATAATAAAGATTTTTTTATTTTGGTTTTTGGGGCCTAGAGGACACTGCAAAAAATGTGTAAGCGGCCATACGTGAAATAGAAATTAAAGTTGTTTTATATGAAGTTGGAAGTGTTCTTGACGTCCGCAGGCGATTGGTCTATTCTCATATGCAATCCCTGAGAATAATATCCATAAATTCCTAATAGGAAGCTTTTAAAATAAAGGGAAAACTATGAGCAAAGCAGCAAGAATAGAGTAGGTCTATTATAGCGCCCCTTGTGCACTGTCAGTCTCCCTTGAACAGAGGAAAAAGCCCAAAACAAACTCATCCATTTCGACTGCACTTTGACTTTATTTGTTTGGGTGTCTGTTAAGCCAATAGAGCGCGAATTAAGTGTTTGTTTTAAGTTAAAAGACTGAGTTCCTATGCAAAGTAATCGCTAAAGTTTTAAAAAAAACATAGAGATGCACAGTATAAAATTTTAAGTGTGCAGTTTGGTAGTTTCTGGGGGGGGGAGAGGGGAACATGATTAATAAGTCTTTGATATCGACCTGACCTTGTAAGTATTTTCCAGTTGAGTAATTTTCGGTGTGTTCTAGTTAGTCGTTTTCAGTCTATCTGGCCAGCTGTAAAGGGACGGCCGCACATTTCCTTCGTGTTTTTCAGGAGGCTTCACATAACTGTCTGGACTACAAGCTGGACAAGATAAATATATATCAGGAGTGAGAAACGTTCAATGGTAAGTCACAATCAAAGCTGTCAAAATAATATTAAATCATGTATCTTATTGTTCTTGTGAATGTGGAATTATAGGAGTAGTGGTCGACTGTTTACAATGACCTAATATATTTGTATACATGTTAAATATGACGTTATTATAGACTTACGTACAACGACTATATAGGGTTTTATCGAAAAAAACTTGCCTTCTTTAATAGGAAATGCGTGGTGTTCAGAGGACCCTAATTATGTGCGAAATTTTCAGAAGGAACAAACGGCTAACGAAGTGAGATGGAGTATCTGAGTTTGATCCTCCTACGGATAGGACGCAAATACAAAAGGCAGAAAAGCAAGATGTTATGAGGCGTCTTCATGCTGCGCTCGGATGAGACTAGGATAAGATCGACGTTAAGTTGAGGCCTCGCACCTCAGTTTTCAGAGCTAGAATTAGCCCGCAAATCAGTATGGTTTTGTCCTAAGTAATGCTGGGCTCTAGGTTTGTGTAAAATATATGCGAATTTGAGAGCATCAGCCCATTTAAAAGACTGAGCACGTTTGCCCGCCGACAAATGTGATTTAAAAGCAAAAGAGAACCTCGAAAGGTACTTTAGTGGACTTTGTTTATAGCAGAACACTAATTTGCAAATGGCGATCTTGCTGAGACCATTTCATTTCGTTTTGATAAGTGTGGCATTTTAAGGTCAATAAAGTGAATAAGACTACTGACTTGTACTTATACATGATACGGCTGCGATCATGCCTGATCTAGCCGGCCTCGATGATGTCCCGAATTCTACCTCTCCACGCGTGACGATCCGCGGCAGCCGATTTTGACAGTTCAACCCATTCCCTTCGCCAACGACGGAGACCGAATATCGAAGGTCCAAGAACCACCTCCATGTCTCGACGAACTGTGTCGAGACAGTTTTGAACTGACCCCCTCTTCGACGCCTCCAATGGGTCAACGGTGCTGGATCGAGGGCAGTAACACTGAGCTCCTGAGGTTGACGACGAAGAACATGCCCGAACCACCTCAGTCGTCTTTCTTGGATGGCCTGAGTTATCCTTGCGATGTTGTCGCAGCGAGCGCGGACTGTCTCATTTGAGAGGAAGTCGGTGAACTTCACTCGAAGGATGGTCTTCAAGTAGTGGTGGTAAATACCTCCAGTTTTCGCTCGTCCTCCACGCGCAAAGCCCAGCATTCCTAACCGTAGAGGAGGACTGACCGGACAGATGGACGGTACACGCGAATCTTGGTGGCGATGGAGAGGTCACGACGGTTTCTCGCCATACCGAATACCGAACGGTTTGGAAAGATTGCTGCGGACCAGGACTCTCGCAATGGTGGAGCGATAGTAGGCCTTGATCATGGCAATGATTTTTTCCCGTACACCATCTACCGCCATTATCCGCCACGGGGACTCACGGTGAACGGAATCGAACGCGGCGGCAAAGTCAATGAAGCAGACGGCCGTCGGTTGTTGGTAGCTATGGCGAAATTCGAGAATGCGCCGCAGTGTGAATATCTGGTCTGCGCTTCCACGTCCAACACGAAATCCGGTTTGGCTGAGCCTCGTCCTTGAGTCACGCACAACCTGGAATCGCCTGAGTAGGACATTAGCGAAGATCCTTACAGCAACGTCGATAAGACTTATGCCGCGGTAATTCTCGCATCTCGTCTAATCTTCCTACTTGAGGATAGGTACAAGGATGCCTAAGCCCCAGTCATCAGGAACAACCTCGTCTCTCCACGCTTGTTCAATCAAATCATGGAGCCAGGGTGACAGAGTGTCGACACAAGACTTGAAGACTTCAGCAGGTATATCGTCCTCTCCGGGTGTCTTTTTGTTGCGCAACTTTCGTATGGCATCGGCGACTTCTCCCTCGGAGAGGGGTCGCATAGCACTGCATAGGTAGGCGAGGGAAGAAACTCCGCTGAGGAGGAGAGCAATGGCAAGGTAGGTTGGGTATCGAAGTTGAGATGGCGCTCAAAGTGCTCACGCCAGCGCTTGACTTTGACCGAGTAGTCAGCAATAAAGCCGCCGTTCACATCGCAAACAGAGTCACTCAGTGTAGAGGGCTTATCGCTAACTTGGCGGATCAGACGGTAGAGCTTTCGAGTGTCACCAACTTTCGAGGGCTATTCCATTGAGGTCGCTATTTCAGCCCAATATTGCTTCTGGTCAACCCCGGCCGATTTTGCCGTCATCTTCCGAAGTTGGCGGAAGTAGTCGTCGTTGCGGGACCTGGCTCTAGCCTTCTGAACAGACAACTGCAGGGTTCTTCCGCTGGTCCAGTCACTGCTGCGTCGCTGGGTGTATCCAAGGATTTTCTCAGCTGCCCCATAAACTGAAGTCTTCAGTGACGACCATTGGTTACTGATTTCTCCGTCGGCTCGAGTCGTAAAATAGGTCCGGATTTCTCTGCTTAGGACCACGGCAGTGCTGGCTTGCCGGATTTTTGCGACATGCAGGCGTCTAGGACGTGGCATTTTTGGCGCAGATGAGAGATAAACTTTTAAGCTTGTACGGACGAGGACATGGTCCGACCCATGGGCGTTATCAGTCTCGGCACCACGCATCGATCTGCTATCGTGAACCCAGCTGCGGAACCTTGAGCTGACTAGTATGTATGCAATCTGACTGGCCGCATGACCGTCGTTTGAATACTAGGTCGGCAGATGTTTCTTGTGATGCTAGAAACATGTGTTGGTGACTAGCAGTCGGTTTCGATCAACGAAGTTCAGAAATCTCTCACCATTTTCGCATCGGGAGCCAAGCCCAAAGCGGCCAAGAAGATGGCTGGTGTGTGGTCGCCAGGTCCAGTTCGACCATTCCAATCGCCGGCAACAATCAGCAGATCTCAGAGAGACAGTCTTTCAACTAGCGCTGGCAACTGAGACTAAAACGCTTCTTCATCGCGCTGTTCGGCAGCCGAGGTTGGTGTGTACACAGCGACGATGGAGATGTTTGTGAAGTGACTCTTCAGTTGCACGTAGGCCATCCGGTCATTGACTGGTTCACAAGCAAGTAGAGCGAGGTCCGCGATAGGGCGATCGCAACACCGCGCGGGCCGCTGTGGTACAGTATATAGTGTGATTCGACTCCAGGGATCTTTATTTCACGGGAGCCTGAGTCAGGGAGTCGAACGTCAGACAAACAGCAGACATCCACGTTGCACTGATAAAGGCTGCGTCCGGTGAGATTTTGGGTACCAGGGTCCAGGAACGTTCGCACATTCCAGCATCCAATACCGAGAGTCCGTCCACGATTGAGTAGTCCAGCTCGCATACTATTCGCCCGCACCACTGGACCAGGGTTGCGGAGCGCGTCGGTTCCCGCGGACGCCGTAGCATGGGTCGTAGTACTGAAATCGGACATGTTTCATGAGGTTTCTTGGGAATTTCGAATACGGTCGGGTTCCCAACAGCCGCTCGGATTGTTTATTTGAGGTTGTCTCCTCTAGCGCTTTGGCTGAAAAGCCTGACCACAAGGCAGCGGTGACAAGTAAACTTATTTAATGGCGGTTTACGGTCGCCATGTCACAATGCCGTCATTGGGTTTTGCGGCTTTTTATAAGGCTTTCAGCGTGCCAGACCTCAGTCCACCGCACCCTGGTAGCAATGTCGCTGCTGGTCCGTGACTGCTTATTCGTCAGACCTAGGTCTGCTTATTTCGCAGCAAACCTTCACTGAAGTTCATCTCACTATCCGCCACCTGTGGACGCGCCGGGTAGCCAGCAGCTAGGCTAACAGGCAACCCATATTCCCGGGACAACCCGTCTTCTCCTTGCGACCAACAGTTTACCTAAGAGTCACCTGCGTGGAATTTTTAAAAAGTGTTTTCTGAGATTTAACTAAATAATGACCGCGGATAGTTCATCATTACGAAGCGAAGTGAGTAATTCAGAAGAGGCGTGTGACGCCTACCCCAAGACCGATTGTACTGGAAGCCGTGCTGGCTTCGCTACACAAAAATCAGTAATTTCGACTGTATTATCGTAAACAATTTTGCGAGAGAGGGCGTTTTATGAAAGCCCAAATAATCTCTAATTTCAGAATGGGTCAGATTAAAATGTTTGAACGATTATAGAAGTTTTCAAACAATCAAACAACTCTTCTTGAGAGAGACTGAGGACGGTTTTCTAGACATTGGGGAAAAATTCCCTGTTCGTTTTATAATACGGTTTGAAATGTTGTCAGTTTAAACCGAATCCTAGTTAATAAGCCAGCTAGTTTGTCTCTGAATATTTAAAGGCGAACATTATCCATGGCGAGTAACACATCTGAAGACGGAGGAATTAATGTGTTTGGGTCAGCCCAGAAGACTTCAGTATGTTACGAGGTGTAGACAGTTCGTTTGAATAGAAAAGAATAGGTTTGTTACTACATCTCTTAGGCACTGTCAGTCTGCTTACAAAACAGAACAAGCCCAAAGCAAATCCATTCAGTTTGGCTGCACCCCGACTGCATTTATTCTCAGTGTCTGTCTAGTCAATAGAAAGCGAGTTGGAAGTTTGTACTAATTTACAAAAGCCTGATTTCTTAGACGAAGTAATAGCAAAAGTAACAAAAGAACGGAATATACAGTATAAACATTAAAATTTGGTTTTGGACGTTTTTTGGGGTCATGAATACTTCGCATTTTGTAGGATATGGAGAACTCTAATTTCGGTATGTCGTTAAATCAACTGCGTGCAGATAAATGCTGGAGCATTATAGTTGCCGTTTTTAATTTTTGGAAAGTCGCGTAGACCTGATAGCATTGTCTGTTTGTGTCTCCCGGACAAACAGCTCAAAAAAAGATGAATACGCATCAGAATAATATTGTATCCGGCATCGCATTTTCTCTGACAATAGTATATTTTGGAATTCGTTCCCAGCAACAGAGATGGTGGAAACACAGTAGCTTCAATATACTTTGACCCAAAAAGGCCTTTGACATGGTCCCCCATAAAAGACTACTGATTAAGCTTAAAAGTCATGGAATTAGGCCTCCTCGATTTTCTTAAATTCTATCTTCAAAACCGATATAAAGTGGTACAAATTCGAAATGTAGTCTCGAAACCATGCAATTGAATAATATTGGTCACTTAAATAATACCGGAACATAGCACTAAAAACAATCAAATTTACGAAAGACAGCATCATTGGCAAACATAGAACACATAGTTATATTCTTCCTTTTCTCCCTTTATCGTTTCCGTCAGCTATGTCCCCTGACACTGAGTATCCCTTAAGGAGCTGATAATTACATTCATTTCGATAAAATCGTTCGAAATCCTCCAATCCGAGATAAGTTGAAATTTGTCTATAATTAAAATATTTGGCATATTTCTGCGTCAAGTTTGAGCCGATTTTTATTTGCTGTCGAACATAGCACATAGATCCCTTTACACTCTCTCCAATTAACCATGACCGATGTTAAACTTGCTGTCGACAAAGTAGATCTTTCGGCCATCTTGCGTTTACAGAAATCTGTAAACTTAAGTTTATCGAGAAACTTGAACACATTTTTACGATTCTCGATTCACTAACAGACTCAAGTACATTCACGAACAGCCTAACTAGCCTACCAAAAATAGAATCGATTATACATTCAGTTTCATCAGAAGTCGCAGATAGATCAAAACGCAGACTCAATTTGTTATTCGCAACATATCCCACACGGTCAACCCAACACTATCAACTGAAAAACTCTTACATTCGTGTGGCCTAAACACCCGAGTAGCTACCACATAAAGACTTCACTCTAGAAGCAAAAATAAACCCGTCTAAATAACCTTCTACTCGCAGACCAAAACTGAGCTTGTCCTGCAAAACCCCGAGGTAAACAGAAATCTGCGGAATTGAAACGCATGTATAGGTCCAAATTTGACACCGATGCAAAGACGTAAACTTAGGGAAACAGACACCAGTTACAAACACGGTAATCAGCACCCCGGTCCCTCAAATGAATCTCTAGCTACCACCTCTACTTCCAGCGCTAATAAAAAGAAATTAGCAGAGCAGCGTAAAAAATGATAAACCCACAGCCCCCGTAATGGATCTCCAGCAAGTACATCTGACTCTAGTTCTCAGGACAAATACGCATAACTGCAAAAGCAGTTAGGAATTCTGGACAGAAAGAAACAAGGGAGGCATAACAAAACACCGTTCAACTAGAACAGAACGATGACGCCGATCCCGGACCCAGTCATGTGACACCACTAGATGGCAAAATAAACATGCTACGTCCTCAAAAAAACGATCAACCTGTACTAGGAATCGACTGCCAAATGAGAAACACAAACCAAAAGGCCACATTAAGCGCAACTGCACAACCGAAACGCCCAAAATATATAGATATAACAAATAGGAGGTCTCCAAACTTTAACCAGAAACATAAAGCTTCTAGAAGTGTACCTCGACTTGCAAAAATCCACCTCATGGCATTGGAATAAGCCAAATCACTCTAGCATTTCAAACTTCTTACCAACTAACTACAACCCCACAAATTACTTCGGTGATACTCCATTTAGGTACAATTACCACCTAGTTAACCCACTTCCCATCACATGTACACTTAGTCCACACACTAACCCATGCACTCAAATTTCGCCATACGCATTACCAAATCCTCCAAGAACCACACACCTACCTCCATTTAGTCCCTCACTCACTCAAAGTACCATGAGAAATCCTTTTTTCACCAAAGCCTACCTCTTCCATATCCAACATCCTAATGATAGCTGTTACAAATTCGAGATCGAGATTCGAGATCGAGATTCGAGATCAACAAAATCTCCCAACTTAGAGCTTTTGTTCAAGTATATAACCCCGATATAATTTACATCACAGAAACATAGGCAAATAAACTTATATCGAATGTTTCGCTATATATCCCAAATTATAATTTCTATC